GATTGGTGCCTGATAGTGCGCACGTCAGACTGGGTATAAAAGACAGGGCTTGTGACGCAAAAGCGCCTCGGCGCCTGTATTGGCTCTTTTTGCTGCGGGCCGGCTAGGCTACGCGCTCTCTTCGGAGCAGCTCACTGCATGGTAGAGCCTGGTGCCACCGCTGCCGCCTGCACCGCTGCCGCTCTGCGACGACCACCGCAGCCCCCTGCCCCGCAGCCACTGTCGCTGTCGCCGTCGCCTCGGGACCGGCTGTATGATTAGGCCACAATCTTCAATGAGTAAACATATTCCTGTGAGTAGCCGTCGCACCGCTGCTTCTCTAGTCGGGAATCTGCGATCGACCCCCCCATTCCCGCTGTCGTCTTTGTTCGGAGACTGGCGGTGGCTCTCTGCCGCCTTGGCCCGCTGTTCCGTTAGTCCTGGACGGGAGCTGTCTGGACTGCGGCCTGGAGGGCGGTCAGTCGCAGCGGGATGAGGGAAGGCGGACGTGAGTGTTCGCAGCGGCGGTTGGTGGCTCCGGTTTCCCTGTCTCTGCCGGGCCCGGAACAGCTGGGGTAGCGGGGCTCGGCCTGCACGGCGGGCGGGGACGCTTTCAGCCGCTGCTGCGGGCCGGGCCGAGCCGGGCGACGCGAGGCGACACAAAAGCCGCTTTGTGACCGCCGCCTCCGCCCTTAGCTCTCCGGCTTGGCGCACCCTGTCCGGGCCCGACGGGCTTTGCGGCGTCCCGGGGGCCCCTTTGTTCGTCTGAAGAAGGGCTGCCCGCCCTGGGAGCGGGAGACGTGGCCTGGGGTGGGGCGAGGGCTGCGCGTGTCACTGCGGAGCCGGATACGGGGAGGGCGCGGTGGCGGGATCGTCTCGGGAGCCGGGTCCTCGTGGGGTAGGCGGGGCGGCCGGGCGCAATCACTAACGGTGCTGCCGAGAGCTCTCGGAAGCTGGGGCCGACGCGGGACCAAAGCCTGGTGTGATTGCTCTTCTACTTTGTGGCTGAAACCGGCTCTCACACAAAATGGCCTCGGCGCCCGCGCCTGACTGAAAGCGCGGCGCGAACCCGTGATTGCGGCGCAGAGAGGGGGCGCCTTGGGCGGGCCCCAGGCGCGCACCGCCGCGTGCGCAAAGCGGCGGCCTTCGGGGGCCCATCTGAGAGCCGCTGCCCTCCCGGGCTGGAGTTCACCTCTGTGAGGTGAGGGAGCCGAGCCGCACTCCCTGCCCCGCCCTCTTGGCCACCTGGTAATTCGAGCTGTTCCGGATTTAACGCCCCATTTTGGGCTTTGGATAAAGGGAAACATGTCGAGTCTTGTCCTTTCTTTGGGGCAAGTCGTTCCAGAAATGGCCCGAGTGTAAGCGCCTTGAAAACTGCCAGGGTTACGGTTACATTCAAGCAAATGAGTCTGCGTCCAGGCACCGGCAGGCAGTATATCCCCTTTTATCCTGGAATGGCCTTGGGTGGCGAGTTTTAATCAGGGACTAGTTGGGACTGTTTAATGAAATCCTTCGTGTAATGTGAGTTACCTAATGTTGGCTTGTGGCAACAGTAGTCAGCTGAAGCCAGCCAGAATTCTGAGGTTTATATTCTTTCTCTCCGTGAAAGCCTCTACAATTCCAAGACTATTAAGTTGTTATTTACACTGCACAGTGGAGCAGTAGACTGACTTGTGATCCAGATTCTGAGCTATTGATGCTTCTGTTACTCTTACTATGTGATTTTTGTTTCACAGTAAATCAGTTAAGAACCAGGAAGCTAGATCATTCGATTCCCAAGAATTTAAGCATTTTGCACATGATGTATTCGAGATGCATTCGTCAACACAAGCAGATGTGAGGTGGACTTTAAAGAATTCGACAAAACAGTTGTACAGATTAATTGGTTTGACTCTACAGTCTGACAATTGACTTCAGATTCCCCCTGACCCTCCTGTGAATAAGATTGTGATTGTATGCAAGCAATATGGGAGGGGGGGGGAGAGAGAAATCCCTTGTTAAACAGCATTGTTAGTGTCATCGACTCATAGTAAACCTGTATAAGGTTTCTGAGGTGTGGCTGGTGGGTTTGGACCACAGACCTTGTGGTCCGCAGTCCAGTGGTTATCCGGGAGTCTGTTGAAAAGCATGTCAGGAGTGAAATAGGCAGAATCAAAAGGTATCAGTAGTCACTGCTGCTTTGATGGTGTCCTGGTGTGGCGCTGTGGGTTAATGCGCCAGACTACAAAGCTGTTTGAACTGCAAGTTCGGAGGTTCAAGCTCACCAGCCACTCCTTGGAAACCCTATACAGGGTCACTAATGGGTCAGAACCGACTCGAGGGCACTTAACAACAACAAGCTGCTTTGATAGAAGTCCCCCCAGCCACTGGGTGGCTCCACTCATTGCCCTTGACAATTTTACTACTGTCTTCAATTCTTTGTATGTCTTTGGAATGGAAAAGTGCCAGAACACATTCTTTACTATCTTATAAGGAAGAATTACTTCAGTTTTGAGTGAAAGTACTACAAACACTATTCAGTGTAGAAGTAGTTTACTTAGGAGGCCTGGTGTGTGTGGTAACCATGCTGACCTTCAAGTTTGTAGTTCAAACCCAGCAGCTGCTCCTTGGAAACCCTAGGCAGAGTGTTGTCTCTGCTGGCACTTAACTACAATGGTAATTTAGACAGTGCTTCTTTGAAGTCCCTACCAACCTCTGACAGCTCACTTAGGCAAATTTGGAATAATGGAAAGTAATCTTCCTTATAGATTCAGTAAAATTAATTCTAATGTTCTCTTGTTTTGACTGGAACATAAACAGGTTTTTTGTTATCTGATCTCTCTATCTGGGTTATTATTTAAAATTTAGCAAAGTTCTAGAAACTATAACTAACTTGAGAGCAGCAGATTGGCAGGATTAATATTAAGCTTTTAAAGTAGAAAATTAATGGAACCTTTTTACATTATAAGAGTAAATACTTTTTGATGTTTGGAGCAGTGGCTGATATTTAAAATTATTATTTAATTTATGTCCCCTTTTCACTCCAAATACACAAGTATAAAACTACTTGGAAGAAAATTAATGTTGATACCTTTGTTGAATTTAATGAAAAACAAATACAATATACATTTATTGGTGGTGGTAATTGTTTTTGTAACTTGAAAGGTTTAGAACAAATTTTACTCACCGCTCCCTCCCCTCTCCGTTTCTTTAAATTAGATTTATAATTCTGTCAATATTTATTTTATAATCCAAGGGAATATTATTATATTTTTATAGCTTATAGATTGCAAACAACTTCTGTCCCCAAGACTTCAAACAAGTCAAATTTGTATCACCATGAGCAGTTGTATCTAGTCATGTTTGTCTTAGTATTCACTATGCCTTTCTATGCATAAAAAACACTCCAGATACACTAAAACATCTTTAAAAATACCAATACACTAATAATAATGATTTGATTAAATCACAGAATGTTGTTACAAATTGATGGTTCCGCAGATTTTTAATATAATAGACTTTATGAGGATTGGTTCAGTTTATGTATGTCAGGTGTTCCTTCCCCAGGAACTTGCCTGTTCTTTTAAAATTTGTAAGCATACATTGTCTTCATAGTAAATTTAGCATTGATAGACTCATTTACCTCATTTGTTAAATCAGAGTGATAAATTAATGGGTTGTTGAAGATCAAATGAAGCTGTCTATGAAAACCAGAATTTTCAAAGTGCTCTTAAAAGAACATTGACTATTAAGTATTTTATTACCAGCCATCTAGTCATCCCCCAACTCATGGTGATCTCATGTGTTAAAGAGTAGAAGAATAACACCATAGGCTTTCCTTGGCTATACATTTAACAGGAGTTAACCTGGCCTTTTGTAGAACCAGTGACTGGATATGAAACCTGCAAGTTTGCAACCTCAACAAAACCATTTGTGCCTCTTAGTCGCCTTAATTTTATAAGGTATTAAAGGAGCAGGAAATGTTTGAGACCTAGTTTGTTTTATTGTAAGTAGAATGATGTGAGTTTAAGGTCTAATCCCTGATTTTTATAGTATATTTTTGAAAATATACATGTGACTTCAAGGCCAAAATTTAAATAGCAATCATTATGATATAAAGCATAACTTTGTTGTTGTTAAGTGCCGTCTAGTCAATTCCAACCCGTAGCAACCTTGTATAGGGTTTCCGAGGAGAAACTGGTGAGCTTAAACCACCGACTTTGCAGTTCAAACGGGTTTGCAATCTGGTGCATTAATCCACAGCACCCCACCAAGACTCCAAAACATAACTAGTAGGCCTGTAATGTCAGCACTGAACTGCAAACCACAATGTCAGCAATTCAAGCCCACCAACTGCTCCTCAGAAACCATATATAGGTTATTTTGTGGAAGGACCATATGTAAGAAGAAATTGTTTCAGTGTATGCTTCTTATTTTATCTTTGCATTCTATTTTGAAATTATTCTAAAATGATAATCCACTTAACACTGCATGTCATAAGTGTCCTAAAGATGTGGCAGAAAGTTATACGAACAGGTTTTTATTGCTTTTTTATTGGAAAGCAACCTTTTTTCTCTCTCCCTGTTTTTCTTTTAAACAGCAGTTCTGTGGTGTTCTTGGTCACACATTTATGGAGTTTCTGAAGGGCAGTGGAGATTACTGCCAGGCACAGCACGACCTCTATGCAGACAAGTGAACTGTAGAAATTCATTACTACTCCACCAAGAAGCCCCCATAAGAGCGGTTAACCTGGACAAAGAAGTGTTGAATTGAAATCCCTGGAGCAATTTTCAAGAGTTCTGACCTGAATGGGGTAAACCTCAGTGCACTTCCTTTTTATTGCCTCAGTATTACTCAATTGAAGAATTGCTGCTTCTTGTAAGGAATTCATTTCATTTTCCATTACTCCCAAAACCATACTGAAAGCACTGAGAATTGCAAGTGGAGTATTTTGAAGTAGACTTCAGTTTCTTTACATCATTTCTGTATTCACTTTTTAAAATTCTTTCGTAACCCTATTGAATTTTTAAAACAAAATCAACATGGCTCGAATGAACCGTCCAGCTCCTGTGGAAGTCACATACAAGAACATGAGATTTCTTATTACACACAATCCAACCAATGCGACCTTAAATAAATTTATAGAGGTAAGATATGATGGTTTTTATCTCTTCAATTATTGCAGTTTAATAGCAAATTTTATACTTAAGAAAATAACAAGTAGGAGAATTTGAGAATGGCATGCATATAGCGTCAATTCCTGAAAATAAACGCTGGTATTTTTAGGTTAAAAGTGTTACTCTTAAGTTATTTCAAAAATTTTTGGCCTATGTATTTAAGTCTAGTTTTTCTTGCCTGAGTTGTTTATAGGAACACAGTATGACAGTGTGGTTATCAATTGTTTTAAGACATGCCCTACACCAGTGGCCTATAAACCTGGTTTATCCCCCAAATGAAATCACAGCTACTGTTAAATAAGGCTTAGAATTTACAGCATGTATTTTAGGGGGAAATGGTCCAGACAGTAGCAGCTATCATTTATGGATTTTTTTTTTTAAATGAAGTAGAACTTGTCCCACATAGTTTCCCAGACTAAAAATCTCACAGAAGCAGACTTCAATATAACTTTGTTCAAATCACTGGCATTACTGTTCACGGCTCAAGCTTACCCACTGAGCCACCCAGGATCATTCAAAAATGTCTACAGGTACTCAGAAATGACAAGGAATGCCTTATTAGTATTTTTTATTAATTGGCATCTATAGCTGACTCTACGACACTTAAAAACAACAACAACAGTTTAAATGCTCGGATTATAACCGGTACTATATTATGAATCTTTTGAAGCCTTGATTTTAACTTTTTACTCAAAATCTTGAGTGTACTTCTAGTCTCCAAATTATACTGTGTAACTCAAATTAGTAAAGATTTCAAGAGTTAATCAGATTAATTATGAATGATATTTTTGGTTTTCTTAGCTCTCTTTTGTTATTGCTTATACCCTTGTGTCCAGTGCTTGCATGACTGTATATAACTGTAGAATATAAAGGGCGACGTGATCTTTTAAGTTTATAACTTAATAAGAATTTGCTATTCTAGTATTGTCATTTGTGGAAATAAGGCTTTCTGCTCCCAAAAGGAGGTTGCTGCAAATCAGAAATGACTCAACAGCCCTTACCAAAAGCATTCAGTTGATTTTGCTTACATGTTAAACATTACTTATAGATTATAATTCTGTGATTTGTTGTTAGCCATCAACACGAAGTAGAGAGGTGATCAAAATGGTAAGTAATGGTGACTTAATAATTCTTTTATATATATATTTTATCTAGGAACTTAAGAAGTATGGAGTTACCACAATAGTAAGAGTATGTGAAGCAACTTATGACACTGCTCTTGTGGAAAAAGAAGGCATCCATGTTCTTG